TTGTCCATTCAGGTTTCAATCATGAGATTGCAGTAGTTTGGTCACACCTCTAGGCTCCACTTCTAATTCTTAGTTCTCACTAGTTCCACCACATCTGCAGTGACTTCCTCCACTGAAGTCTTGAACTGCTCAAAGTCATCCATGAGAGTTGAAATCAGCTCCTTCCAAACTCCTATTGATGTTGATATTTTGAACTCCCACAGGTTATGAATGTTCTTAATGGCTTCTAGGATGGTGAGTCCATCCCAGAAGGTTCTCAATTTTCTTTACCCAGATCCATCAGTGGAATCACTGTCTGTGGCAGCTCTAGCCTTATAAAGTATAGTTCTTTCTCTCTTTTTTAAATTGTACTTTGGGCTCCGGGGTACATGTGCACTTCCTGCATCCTGCAGGATTGTCGCATAAGTACATACATGCCACATCCACCCCCATCCTCGCCCAGTTGCCTACATTAGGCATTTCTCCCAGTGTTATTCCTCCCCATCCTCCCCACCCCATGCTGTCCCTCCCCTCTCCTCCCCTCCCCTCCATCTCCCCACCTAGCCCAGTGAGTGTTGTTTCCTTCCCTGTGTCCATGTGTTCTCATTGTTCATCTCCCGCCTATGAGTGAAAACATGGTGTTTGGTTTTCTGTTCTTGTGTCAGCTTGCTGAGAATGATGGTCTCTAGATTCATCCATGTCTCTACGAAGGACATGAACTCGCCATTTTTTATGGCTGCATAGTATTGCATGGTCAATGTGTGCCACATTTTCTTTGTCCAGTCTATCACTGATGGGCATTTCGGTTGGTTCCAGGTCTTTGCTATCATAAACAGTGCCGCAACAAACATACATGTGCATATGTCTTTATAATAGAACGATTTATAATCCTTTGGGTATATACCCAGTAATGGGATTGCTGGGTCAAATGGAATTTCTTTTTCTAGGTCCTTGAGGAAGAGCCACACTGTCTTCCACAATGGCTGAACTAGTTTACACTCCCACCAACAGTGTAAAAGTATTCCTATTTCTCCACATCCTCTCCAGCATCTGTTGGCTCCAGATTTTTTAATGATCGCCATTCTAACTGGTGTAAGGTGGTATCTCAATGCGGTTTTCATTTGCATTTCTCTAATAATCAGGGATGATGAGCATTTTTTCATATGTTTGTTAGCCTCATACATGTCTTCCTTTGAAAAGTGTCTGTTCATATCCTTCACCCACTTTTGAATGGGTTTGTTTGTTTTTTTCTTGTACATCTGCTTTAGTTATTTGTAGATTCTGGATATTAGCCCTTTGTCAAATGGGTAGATTGCAAAAATTTTTTCCCATTATGTTGGTTGCCAGTTCACTCTAATGATTGTTTCTTTTGCTATGCAGAAGCTCTGGAGTTTAATTATATCCCATTTGTCTATTTTGTCTTTCGTTGCCTTTGCTTTGGTGTTTTAGTCATGAAGTCCTTGCCTATGCCTATGTCCTGAATGATGTTGCCTATGTTTTCTTCTAGGGTTTTTATGGTGTTAGTTCTTATGTTTAAATCTTTAAGCCATCTGGAGTTAATTTTTGTATAAGGTGTAAGGAAGGAGTCCAGTTTCAGCTTCCTGCATATGGCTAGCCAGTTTTCCCAACACCATTTATTAAACAGGGAATCCTTTCCCCCTTGCTTGTTTTTGTCAGGTTTGTAAATGATAAGATGATTGTAGATGTGTGGTGTTGCTTCTGAGGCCTCTGTTCTGTTCCACTGATCTATATCTCTGTTTTGGTACCAGTACCATGCTGTTTTGATTACTGTAGGCTTGTAGTATAGTTTGAAGCCAGGTAGCATGATGCCTTTAGCTTTGTTCTTTTTGGTTAGGGTTGTCTTGGCTATTTGGTCTCTCTTTTTGTTCCATATGAAGTTTAAAGTAGTTTTTTCCAGATCTTTGAAGAAGGTCAATGGTAGCTTGATGGAGATAGCATTGAATCTGTAAATTACTTTGGGCAGTATGGCCATTTTCATGTTATTGATTCTTCCTAACCATAAGCATGGAATGTTTTTCCATCTGTTTGTGTCCTCTCTTAGTTCCTTGATCAGTGGTTTGTAGTTCTCCTTGAAGAGATCTTTTATATCCTTTGTTAGTTGTATTCCTAGGTATTTTATTCTCTTTGTAGCAATTGTAAATGGGAGTCCGATCATGATTTGGCTCTCTCTTTGTCTGTTGTTAGTGTATAGGAATGTTTGTGATTTCTGCACATTGATTTTGTATCCTTAGACTTTGCCAAAGTTGCCCATTAGCTTGAGATTTGGGGCTGAGATTATGGAGTCTTCTAAATAAACTAATTATGTCATCTGCAAATAGGGACAATTTTACTTCCTCTTTTCCTAAGTGAATACATTTTATTTCTTTTTCTTGCCTATCTGCTCTGGCTAGAACTTCCAATACTATGTTGAATAGGAGTGGTGAGAGAAGGCATCCTTGTCTAGTGCCAGTTTTTAGAGGGAATGCTTCTAGTTTTTGTCCATTCATTATGATATTGGCTGTGGGTTTGTTGTAAATAGCTTTTACTATTTTGAGATGTGTTCCATTGATATCTAGTTTATTCAGAGTTTTTAGCATAAAGAGCTGTTGAATTTTGTCGAAGGCCTTCTCTGCATCTATTGAGATAATCATGTGGTTTTTGTCTTTGGTTCTTTTTATGTGGTGGATTACATTTATACACTTGTGTATGTTGAACCAGCCTTGCATCCCTGGGATGAAGCCTACTAGATCGTGGTGGATAAGCTTTCTGATGTGCTGTTGGTTCAGTTTGCCAGTGTTTTATTGAAGATTTTTGCATCAATGTTCATCATGGCTATTGGCCTGTAGTTTTCTTTTTCAGTTGTGTCTCTGCCAGGTTTTGGTATCAGGATGATGTTGATCTCATAGAAAGAGTTGGCCAGGCGCGGTGGCTCAAGCCTGTAATCCCAGCACTTTGGGAGGCCGAGGCGGGTGGATCACGAGGTCAAGAAATCGAGACCATCCTGGTCAACATGGTGAAACCCCGTCTCTACTAAAAATACAAAACATTAGCTGGGCATGGTGGCATGTGCCTGTAATCCCAGCTACTCAGGACGCTGAGATACTGTTAGAGATATTGACAGAAACTACTTGGCAGTCAGTGCCAAACGGAGGTCACTAGGGAGCTCTCAAAGACAAGTAACTCTAAGTCTTTAATGTGTTTGATTTATGTCTCCAAATTCTTCACAGTGAATTACAGTGAGTGCAATGACGTTGGCCGGGTAGATTTTGACAGGCATCACCCACCACTTCCATTGTAGTAGACTCATAATCATCATGACTCCTCTGTAATGTTTCAGTTAGAACAGGACTGTCTCCAAATGAGTGTGTGTGGTTAGAGTTACAGGATATTAAATGTGATCTCTCCTTTCGTCACAGACTTTCAGGTGACAACAATATGACGAGACCCCCTATGTAGGATGGGCTAAGCATTGTGAGACAGGTGCTGCAGTCCTTTACTCAACACAGTGGGACAAGCCTGAGGATTTGTTACAGAGATTGGGAAGTGGGGAGTTTTTTAGAAAAAGATTTGACGTGCTGTGCCATTTCTCCCTCCCTTCCCACTGGGAAGTGGGAAAGAAGTAGAAAGTCATTCTCCAGTGTAATATCCCCAACTAAGCTATTTCAGCTGCTGATGTAGGAAGTCACTCTCATCGTAAGCCACATGAAAATGGGTTGCAGGTCTCAGAGAGCTTCATAAGTATACTTTGGAGTTTGAAAAACGGATTCTGGAACTGCCCCGAACCTGATATTGTCAAAATGTGAGACGCTGGCTGGCTGGCCAGAGGGGCAGTAGGTGACAGATTGAAGAAGACTGCCTTGAAAGCCTTGCACTCGAAGAGTATGGAGGGGCAAAAATCCATTATCTTCTTCTCAGGTGTTAGATATGGATCCATCAGAGAAAGGAGGAGGTCTCAGTTTACCTGGAGGGATAAAGTGATGCCAGCAGAAGGCATGGTAGGGAGGCACTGAGGGCCAGAGACTATCCCAGGAACATGCTACACTTGAGAACTGCAGTAGGAGGACCCCAAAAAGAGACCTCTGAGGAAGCCAAGAACGAGCCCTGGAGAGGAGGGACTGGCATTTGTCTGCTGTCCCATCCCCAGAGGGCACTAATATAGATAACAACAGTAGCAGTCAAAGGAGGCATTTTCTGCCCCTCACCCTCTTTGCCTTTCAAGCCCTAATCTTGGAGAAGCCAGAGCAACAGAGCAGAGAAGAAAGAGTAGAAGACAGAAAACAGTGAACGATCCAACCCTGACCCCTTTCCCCACTGCTGGTCTCCTGCCTGATATGGGTCCAAGCTGTAGGAGGGGATGAAAGATTGAAGTTTGCTATTTAACCAGACTGGACTAAATACCTGGAAAATTAGATGGTGTATTAACCTGAGAGTGACAGAAAAAGCTCAGGGAGCTTCCCAAAGTTTCATCCAGAGGCAGGAAAGGATGAGTCAAAAGAGAAGTTCAAAGGGAAAATGGTGAGAAAAAGTTCAGCTTGTTTAATAAGCTGATCATATGACACCCTTTGGAATAGAAATGCATCTTAAAGGTGTATCAGGATAAACTAGCCCACAAAATACATCATCAAATATACGCAATGTTATTCAGCTGCCTCAATGTCTTAGAACAAAGGCAGAATTTGAACAAATAAAATTATTGCTTATATGTGACTTCATAGTCCATGCTTGTTACAAGGATTGAGAGACTTTAGACAATGCTGAGAAATCCTAAGCAAGTTCAGTCTGTAGGCAGACTTGATAAGCCCACCATTACTGATGTTGTATTTCCTACTTTCAGGAAGCACTGATGTCTTGGAGGACTGACTTCTATCTGCTGTCTCCTGAAGATACTCAAGGATCCTCAGAAGGGGACACATTTTTCCTTTCCACCCTGAAATGATTTTCCTAAGTATTCTGCTCCTCCTCTGACCTGGAAGGATCTGCCACCTTCTTCTGGTCATGTTCAAGCTTCGGATCCTACCCAAATGACTCTGGTCTGCTTTGTTCTCTACCTGCAACATGCTAGTCTTGGAAGCAGGTAAGTGGCAGGAACTCTGCAAAGTCACAGGATACAATGGACAATAAGCTAACTTTTTGACCTGTGATAAACTCTCATTTCTGCTCCATGCTCCAATTATTTCATTTTTGACTGGCTTTCCATCCTGTTTTGATCATCAAAAAGCTCTTTTGCAACTGAGTCTTCCAAACACCTCTCTAGAAAGTATCTCTGCTTTAGAGTCTAAATGTTCTATGTTGCAAATGGACTTAAGCTTTTTTGGTCATCTAAGACTCTCAGAGTTATTGTCTTGGCCAAAAAGCTTAGGCATCAAGGAGATGGTAAGCTACTCCCATAACCTTTCTATCTGGTTGTTATGAAAGCAAATATCAGCCAGGCCTTAGTGGCTCATGCCTGTGATCCCAGCACTTTGAAAGGCCAAGGTAGGTGAATTGTTTAAGCCCAGGAGCTCAAGATCAGCCTAGCCAACATGGCAAAACCTCACAGCTACAAAAAAAAAAAAAAAAAAAAAAAAAAAGCAAAATTTAGCCAGGTGTGGTGGCATGTGCCTATAGTCCCAGCTACTCAAGAGGCTGAGGTGGGAGGATAAATTGAGCCCAGGAGGTAGAGGCTACAGTGAGCTGTGATTTCTCCACTGCACTTCAGCCTGGGCAACAGAGCAAGACCCTATCTTAAAACATTTTTTTTCATTAAAAAATAAAGTAAGTCTCATACCACATGAATCTGTCTGCCACAGATATCAATGAAATGAATTTTTATTAGTGAGTAGGCATAAAACCAATCATACAATCTCTTTTGTTTTTTAAGTGCTCTGATCCCATTTTTCATGCCTGAGGCAGACACCACAATATTCCAGAGGCAGGATTCTGTCACCCTTATTGTCCAAAGAAAGCACCAGAATCATTCCACACTGTGGCTGAACTCAAAACTACTTGAGGACGAAGCCTCAAGTGCTGTCTCTAAGAGGACAGGCTATAGGACTTGGTGGGGTAATGACTGTCTCTAAAATATTATGGCCAATCCACACCTCTGGAAAATCTTTAATTTTAATAAGATGAGCCTATATCTAACATCTGTTATACAGACTAACAGGACATAAATTTTATCCATGAAATGCTTTTCTGACAGTTGATATGTTAATTAATGAAGTCTCTGGTGGTGATTGAGATGTAAACAACTGGAATGAGGTAGCAGCTGCCTTTGGAGTATGGCCGCACTGATCACCTCTGGAGTGTGAACTGTTGATTAAAGGAAACTAACAGCCTCTAGAGAGTAGCTCAGACTAATACGCACACTCATACACACATTTACATCACACACACACACACACACACACACACACACACACTACACTAAAGTAATTTAAAGTAAATTATAGACATCATAATAATATCATAACACTATATAGATAGGAACAAACATCTGCCCAAAGTAACTATTCTGTGTTGCTATAATTGACATTCACAATAGTAACTAGAAAACTGATTTAAATGCTGTAAAAATCATGAAGTATGTTTATTTTATTCTTGCAAAACTCAACTATCTTTTATTTTTTTAATTCAAGAAACAAAAAAAAAACACGAATTAAGTTAAATTCAACTACATCCTATATAGAACGAATATCAACTTCTAATCTTTTTCTGTGTGCCCACACACATAGACACACACTTTATTTTACAAAATTGAAGAATCCTGACTATTATGCCATACACATTTGTCATTAAGTATTTTTTCAAAAGCTTGAATTTACAAGGCTACAGTGAGCTACGATCTCACCACTGCACTCTAGCCTGGGCAACAGAGCAAGATGTTGTCACTAAAAAAACAAACAAACAAAACCTGAATTCAGATATCCATATATCATAGTATCTGATAACTCCAATATAGTTTGGTAAACTAGTTCTCTATAATTTTTTATTATTTTAGGTTGTTTTGATCTTCTACTATCACAAACACTTTGTATGTAACAGTCAGGAGGACACAGTGGCACACTTACGTTGGAAATTTTAAGCAGGGGCTAGTGAAAGTACTATTTACAAAGTCAAGGGGTGGAGTTAGGAAAAGCAACCTCAGATGATGCACCATCCTGTGGCTGGAAATGCTGGGGAGCTGTTACCTCCCCCAGGCCAAATGTCTGGAAACTACAGAGAGCCTGAGAGAGGGCTGCCAGACAGGAGCTGCAGCCTACAGTAGGGGAATGCAGCCAAGCCACAGAGACCTGGCAGGGAGTGAGCTGCTGGAATAAAACCACAACCTTGCTCCAGGTCCCCTGCCTGTGCCTCCCATCGGCCAAACCCAGCCAGAAGCCTGAGGACACGGAAGCCCATTGATGTGGCCCATATGGTCAGCCTCCTGGCACGGAGCAGGGTAAAGGATGGAGAGGGAGGCAGGAGGGGAAAATATGCCACAACCATCAGATATATGTTTCATCTTTATGTACAGAGTTCATCAAAACTCATGTTTAAAGAAAGACAAGTAGATGGTAAATAACTTCAAAAATATTGGTGAGCACAGTGGGTGGTGAACAATGAGTTCTCTTCGGGACATGTTTAGAGGGCTCAGCTGCCTGATCTGGTGAATAAAGCTACAGCTGAATTCAGACCAAGATTGAGCACGCCAAGTCCCTGTATGACTGGTGGTGAGGAAGCATTAACATTTGGCGGGGATTCTTGTGTTTCTGGATGGATCTGTGGGGTGGAAGATTGTTTCAAGAGGCTTCTCATGATAACAGTTCCCATTTTTCTAACCTTACTACCTGCCAGGCTCTGTGTTGAACACCATACACACATTATCTCATTTAACACCCAAACACTCAACATGAATACTATTATCCTATTTTTCAGAGAGGAGAAACTAAAGCTTGGAGAAGTTTGGCAATGTAGTCAAGACCATGCACCTGCTAAGCACTGGAGCCAGAATTTGGATGTAGATAGACCAGAACTCAAAGCCAGGCCACTTAACCACCCACAATAGATGCTTCCATCATCAGCTGTCCCACTCCAAGCTACTTTATGAAGGAATAAACAGTGGAAGCCTGGTGAACTAAGGTTAAACCACCACAGGGAATGTGGTCAATAATTAAAGAATAATAAAACCCCCTGAGAGTGCTACCGAGGTTATACTACAGTACTTTTTAAATTAGTAATAATAACAGTAGCATGCACTGGTCATTTCTTGGCACTTTCTAGGCCACTGACTCACTATTCAGGAAACTGATGACATGCTAGGATCAAGCATTTATCCTGATTTTCCTGTATGAGCTGTATTTCAGGGTAATGAAACGGTTGGTAAAGGTATACTTTTGTTGTTTTTGTTGTTTTTGTTGTTGTTGTTGTTGTATTTGAGACAAACTGTTGCTCTGTCACCCAGGCTGGAGTGCAGTGGAATGATCTCAGCTCACTGCAACCTCTGCCTTCTGGGTTCAAGCAATTCTTGTGCCTCAGCCTCCAGAACAGCTGGGATTACAGATGCGCACCACCATGCCCAGCTGATTTTTTGGGGTTGCACCATGTTGTCCAGGCTGGTCTCAAACTCCTGAGCTCCAGCAACCCACCTCCCTTAACCTCCCAAAGTGCTAGGATTACAGGCATAAGCTACCGCGCCGGGCCAATAAAGCTATACTTTTGTTTTTATAGAGTTCCAGATAACATGTGCAGAAGAAATGATAGAAATGCCACTTAGCAATCCCTAATGGAATAATCCTTAGAGCTAATTCTCTTCTTCTTTTACACACTTTAGGGTCCCTTCTTCCCCTCTAGAACTTTAAGCAATCATTGATGAACAATCATTGAGTAAACAGGTGGCGGGTGGGAAAACTTATGAAGAATGAATCAGGCTGACAGCTCTTGAACTCACTGCTCATCTCAATATAACACAAAAATTGAAAACACGGCACTGTGTGTGTCGATGTAAGGCCTAGGAGCTATGCAGCAAAATCTGTGAATTATCCTTGCCAAAGTCACTGCTGACTCTGGATCCAACCAGATCGCCAGACATAACTATAGAAAATATAGGAGATAGAAGAATAGAAAAACAAGTTAAACACCATAGGAAGTAACTAACCAAATTCAGAATGTAGGAAATTCTGCAGTAGAAATGACCATATTTCTTTCACAAATAAATGGCATGACAAGGGACGAAAGGAAAACTTGTAGATTTAGACTTAGGAGAGGAACTGCTTAGCAGGTATGGGATTTCCTTTCGGGGTGCTGCAAGTGTTTTGGAACTAGATAGACGTGGGAGGTGCACAACACTGTGGATATATCAAACGTCACTGAATTGCTCACTTTCAAAAGGTTGTTTTTATGTTACATGAATTTCATCTCAATATAGAGAAGAAGATGTATCAGTCAAACATAATGAGTGGAGCTTGTTTGGCCTGCCTAAAAGGAAGAAGGAACAAAGAATGGCTGTGAAGTCTAGCACATTAGAACCACAGGCTACATCTCTGCAAATTAGAACCACCAATTCCAATGTTTTTAAATGGGGAAGAGACATCAAGGGTTTAAATGAGATTTTAATTCCTTTCTCAGATTTAATACTTCCTAAAAATATCTCCTAAAAAATCATCTAGCCTGTTTGAACCCCTCAGGGATGCGGAGCTCACTACCTCTCAGAAAGCATCCTTTTCACCACCGAACAACGCTGCCCCTCTAGAAATTTTGCTCACAGATCTTAATTCTACTCAACTGACTTACATAGATTGTTTATTAATCTTTCAACCGAAAGCCTTTTGAAACTATTCCCATATGAAAATTCTCCTTTCCAAAGTGAACTAGTCCATTTTTTTTTCTTTTTTCATTGAGACAGAATCTTGTTCTGTCACACAGCCTGGAGGGCCGTGGCACCATCATGGTCCACTGCAGCCTCAACCTCCTAGGTTCAAACAATCCTCCTTCCTCAGCCTCCCATGTAGCTGGGACTACAGGCGCACACCACCACACCTGGCTAATTTTTAAAAATTCTTGTACAGATGTCTTGCCATGTTGCTCAGGCTGGTCCCAAGCTCCTGTGCTCAATCA